CTATCAAGCTCCTCTCCTATGGAACCAACTCCCAGTCTCAGTTTGGGAGGCGGACACCCTCTCTACCTTTAAGATTAGACTTAAGACGTTCGTTTTTGATAAAGCTTATAGTTAGGGCTGGATCAGGTGACCCTGAGCCTTCCCTTAGTTATGCTGCTATAGGCCTAGGTTGCTGGGGGGCCCCATGATGCTCTGAGTTTCTCTCCTCCCCTCCCGTCCTCTCCTTTACTCTCTCTATGCTTCTACATGCCACCATTACACATCACTAACTTTGTGTCTCCTCTCTCCCTAGCGTGTCCTCTCTCTCTCTCCCTGTACCTTTAGGCAGGCTGTCCTCGCTAAGGGGCTCTACATTTCTGACGAGCAGTCACCGGCCACATCAACCTGACTAGTGTTTGATCATCTCTGAACTGAACCCGCCACTAAATGATGTACAATAGCTGAAACGATGTCATGCAGGCACCATGTGATGGTGCAACAAATGCCTGACCCCTAGAAAGCAGTGTGTATACCGAATATCTATTTTTGCACATTTCTGCACCTGCTGTAGCACCAAAACTAAACTAACAAAAATCAAAATACAAAAATTTGACTAAACCTAATATGCATTTTTGTCAGAAAACTACTTAAACAAAATCAAATTCAAGTGTCAAAATTAACACTGTTCTAGTGGAACCTTTCCAGAGTTTTCCCACATACATGAGGAAATAAACACCAATATTATTCAGCTTCTGGTGTGGTGCTTTAATTTCATCAATTCTTCTATTAAAGTGAATTTTTGCCTGATCTGATTGTCACCTAATCATTTTAGCTGGAGCATCTGGATAAGTTTCCCACCCACCTGAATCTGGGTAAGAAGAGTTCTTGTAGCCAGGGTCTCTCTGCAGCTGCACTTCTTTTAATGTGAATATTGACACACCTGTAAGAAAGAAAAGCTTCAGAAAGCAGCAGAGGAAAAAAAAACACAATAAGGAAGTCCAGGAAAGACAGCAGCTTTATTATGTTGTACTTACTCTCAGGCAGTGTGTGGACTCTCATTCCGAGCTGCCTGAAGTAGGAATGTTTCATTGCCTCGTCAGCTGAAATCCTCTTCTTGGATTCGTACTGTGGTACAGGGAATATCAACCACCCAGTGATATCAGCAGATGATGTTGTGGTTGTGGAGTCTACAATAAGGGAATGGCTCATGTAACACTGATGTGCTAATAGCATAATACACTATGTGTCTCCTGCTGTCTACAGCTGGCACTGTTCTATGCATTTTATTATGCTTGGAATTTGCAAATGAACCCACACAATCCTACTAACCTCAATAAAATCACTACATTATTAGTAATCAATAAATGATAGAGTGAAATCCAGTCTGGGTATCTTAGAAGAACTAAACACTCACTCTGAGAAAATTCAGCAACAGCTCAATACCTTCACCATCCAGCCTAGTGGAGACAAAAAGGAAGAGCAACAGTTAACTCTTTGCCTGCAGGATGGGCTGATGGGAATGTGGGGGCTTAGGGGAGGAAGGAAGTGGAAAGCTGTCTCTGAAATGTTCCAAAGGATTTCCTGCCAGTAGTTTACATACACCCACATATACACACTGTTGTAATATACATGCAAATGAGAAAAAAAAACTAACAAAAAAAACTGTAGCATTGGTGCATTAAAATATTTGCATAAATATACACACAAAAACAAGTGGGTCTACAGCCACCCACCCACACACAGTACCTGGGAACATGGTTGATTAATGGCTGTGGTTTGTATTTAGAGAAGTTGTAGGATTTAAAATCTTCAATAGAGGAGATTCCTGGCCAGTTCTCTTCTGTGGGTGTGCCTAAATCACAGCAAATCAGACATACACGATGTTACTAATTAAACACTTCATCACACATGTGGTGAAACATGTAGGTTACTACTGTGATCTGGCCTGGCAAGAGTTGCTCACCCAGTAACCTGAAGATGAGGTGGAGCTCATCCTCCACAGTGGAGCCGGGGAACAATGGCCGACCTGCAGCCATCTCATAGAATATACAACCAACACCCCTGCAGATGCACATTTGACTATTCAATTTTTTTCTCAAAACAAATCTGGATACCTTCAAAGGTTACCACTCAAATATACACTAACATTACATTAAATAGAAAATCAACAATTCCTTAGTAGTAGTAGTAATTAAAGTGCTATTCTTTTTTTTGGCCTAGGGAAAATGGAATAAGCTACAAATGTAACCCTGACATATTAGACATTCAGTTGGGTGGATGAATTTAAGTCCAACATTCACTCTCTTTTTTTGTGTTAGTGTACGCAAACTACTGAGGAAAATGTGTCTCAACTAGCTAATGCTAAGATGCTAACCAAAACAATGATCTTAAAGATGCTAAAAAACTGTAATGCTGACAGGAACTTGGGTTTAAAACTAGCCATGGCACTGACATGTGTATATTTGCCCTAAAAGAATTAGTCAGTAAATATAAAAGCAAAAACTCCTCTGTATTCATGTGCTTCTTAGATGCCTCCAAAGCTTTTGACCGAGTGAATCACAGGAAATTATTCCAGAAACTGTGTGACGCCCAAGTACCTAAATATATAGTGAGATGTTTGTCATACTGGTATGCCCACCAGACTATGTCTGTTAGATGGGATAACTGTATATCTGCGCCTTTTCAGACCGGTAACAGCGTAAGACAAGGTAGTCTGCTTTTGCCAATTTTGTTTAGTTTTTACATGAATGATCTGTCTAAAGAATTAAATATGTGCAGAACGGGATGTATGGTCGGTGACAAAGTTGTGAATCATTGAATGCATGCAGACGACCTTGTGATTTTTAGTCCCAGCTCAGCAGGTCTTCAGCAGCTCTTGAACGTGTGCTCAATGTTTGGGGAACGTCACGATGTCAAGTATAATGCTGTCAAAAGTGTCATTATGATATGCCGTACAAACGAGGACAGGTCCCTTGTATTTCCTTCTTTTAAGTTATCTGATAATATTTTAACTGTGTGCAGTGAAGTTAAGTATTTGGGTCATGTCATTAATGATTGTTTGTCTGATGAGCCCTAAGGATATTATTGAGAAAGCCTAGATGGACGAGTGCTAGCGAATTGTTCAAGTTATAGTTAGAACATTTTCCGCTGTTTTAAGAAACCTGATGTTTAAATTTATTTGTCGCTTGAATGGTTAAAAAAAATCATATTTTATTGTTGACTAATGTTGCACACAGTGACATGCGTTTTACTTCGGTTCTCTGAAAACACTGGTATACCTGTCTTTTAAAGGGGCAGTAGTTTTATGGGTGTTCTTGTGCTCTCGTTTTTATGTATTTTCTGTTTTTATTGTTTCGTTTTTAAACTGTTCTTTTATTGCTTTTATTTATTTTATTTGTTTTTGACCTTGGACCTTGAGTCTGTAATAAAGTGTCATCATCATCATCAACAGTCAGGTGATAATTCTCTGTGGTCTGGTAACAAAAAGCAATACCTTTCACATTATTCACTGTCATTTAGACCATTGTTAATATAAGAATTGATATGCACAGCTTTAAAATGCATTCGTAGCAGGGCTGTGCAAGGCTCGTACCACATGTCAATCTGTGTTGAATACTGAGAGGACCCCAGAAGAACATCAGGAGGCCGGTACCACAGAGTCACGACCTCGTTGGAGTAGGTTTTAGTTGGGACAGACTTAGCTCTTGCCAGACCTGGGAACACACAACAGATATAAACACACAGCTGGATTTTTACACAGGAAAGTAGCAATATATCTGTGAAGAACACTAAAGGAAGTACATACATTTTTCAAGTTTTCCTCCAAAAACATTTACACCGTTCCACTGCACTAAAGAAAATCTCCTCTGCTGCTGGGGTTCCACTTACCAAAGTCAGCCAGTTTGAGTTCTCCTCGCTCATTGATGAGGAGATTCTGAGGTTTCAGGTCTCTGTGGAGAACTTTCCTCTTATGACAATACGACAGCCCTCGCAAAATCTGGAACAGGAAGATCTGAAAAGACATGAGGTAAACAGCTGATGTTATTAACACACAAAAACTGCCACATTGGACGTTTATTGTTCTAATATGGTCGTTTGATAGAAATACTGACAGAAATTTACAAAAGAGACTTATGACCCTGAACCGTTTGGTCAAAGGACCATCAACTTGTGCAGCTTTGCAACAAAATTGTGATCCTGCAAGCTTATCTCATAACAATGACATTATATTTAACTGATAAGAGGGAAAAATCACACTGGGTTGAGGTTTTTTTCCCACAGCAAATAAAAATGAGCGTAAGAAGAATATCAGTAATATTAAAGGTCATCCTCACCTTCACATTGTGCATACTCATTATGTTTCCACAGTCATCCATATACTGCTTCAGATCCTTATCCTACATGAAGAAATGAATCAGATAGATGGTACAGTAGGTACTAAACCACATACAGAACATCTCTACAATAACATTTTTTAAAAGATATTTTTCAGTTCTTTTCTTTTTCACCTTGTCTTTCTGACTAGTCAATTAGCTATTTCACACCTCTGCAAAATTCAATACTAATGTTCCTGCTCATTTGCTACATTCCTATCCTGTTTTACATCCCTGCAGATCATTTCCCAGTGCTTTTATCTGTATGCTACAAAGATATTTGCTCTCTTGCTGTTCCTGAATGTGTAACACAAAAACCCAGTGTTGTTCTCATACTATTTTTATAAAACATGACAACTTCCATCCATTGTAATAAATTAGTATTATGAAGTAAATGGTTTTCTGTGCTGTTCTGAACTTAATTAGAATAAATTAACTTAAGGGAGGGGTGGCATCGTGGAACAGTGATTAGTGCTGTCACCTCACAGCTCAACGGTTCCGGGTTCAAGCCCGGGCCGACCTGGGGGCCTTTCTGTGCGAAGTATGCAGGTTGTCCATGTGCCTGTGTGGGTTCCCTCTGGGTACCCTAGCTTCCTCCCACAGCCCAAAGACATGCAGCTTAGGTTGATTGGTGACTAAATTGCCCATAACAGTGAGTGTGAGTGTGTGTGGTTGTCTGTCTCTAAGTGTCAGCCCCGTGATAAACTGGTGACCTATCCAGGGTGTACCCCAGAGCTTGCTCAATGTCGGCTGGGATTATCTCCAGCTCCTAGTGACCCTCATTAGGATAAGCAGTACAGATAATGGATGGATGGATGGATGAATAACTTGAAGGAAGTTTTGCAAAAGTAAAAAAAAACAATGACAAATGCATAAATGCTAATGTGTTTTAATTAAATGCATCTTTATATTAAATGTATTTTGTCTGTAAAGATCACAACAAAGACCATCATGCACAAAGAAACTCTTACCAGGTACTCAAAGACAAGCGTGAGGCTCTTGTCAGTGTGGACAATGTCATGTAGTGTCACGATGTTGGCGTGTTTGAGGTCTTTCAGTAACGATACTAGAGAGACAGAGACATGTTTAGACAAAGAAAAATGCATGTAGCACTTTGACACCTAGCTTTAGACTTAAATAAAAAAGAGAACAAAGAATGTAAATATATTATTTGGAAAGGCATGTTACTATTTAATTTAGCAAATTTCACTTAAGTATCAAAAATGAAATTGCAGTCACCTCCACACTGGAGTGGCAGCTGAATTCTGTACACTCTGGCAAATAAAGCAAAAACTTTCACAGCTTCATACATCTTGGTTTAATCTTTAAATTATGTGTTTTGTAAATTCAATTGGTCTGTTAAATACTGGACTATAACTGGGGATAACATACAGTAATAAAGCATCTATAGCTAAATCACAAATACTGGTAAACAAGGGTTTTGTTGGTGAATGGTGTAGAATGGAGGGAGCACAGGCTGGTTACCTTCTCTGATGGCGGTGCATGGCGCTCCCTCCTCATGCTCCAGCCGGATCTCCTTTAATGCCACCAGGTTGTCTGTAAGCTTACTGCGTCCTTTGAATACTGTGGCATAGGTTCCCTAAAAGCAACACACAACACTGGTTCAGCATTACTGACTTAAGGAGAATCAAATATTTATTACCTCTGCCAAGGGCAGGGGGTATGTTTTTGCTCCCCTTATTGGTTTGTTTGCATGCATAACTCAAAACTTACACCAAAAAAAAAAAAAAACACCAATGACTGCATCTTGAAGGACCCCTCTGTTAAGCTCCTAAAGTTTGCAGATGACACAATGATCATTGGTCTCATCTGAGACGATGATGAGTCAGCCTATAGACAGGAGGTTGAGCAGCTGGTCCTATGGTGTAGTCACAACAACCTGGAGCTGAACATGCTCAAAACAGTAGAGATGACAGTCGGATTTCAGGAAGAGCCCCCCCACCTTACCCCCCCTCACCATACTCGGCAGCACTGTATCAGCAGTAAAGTCCTACAAGTTCCTGGGCTCCACTATCTCCCAGGACCTGAAGTGGACGTCCAACATCAGGACCATCACCAAGAAGGCACAGCAGAGGATGTACTTCCTGTGCCAGCTCAGGAAGTTCAACCTGCGCCAGGAGCTGCTGATACAGTTCTACAGAGGAATCATTGAGTCTGTTCTCTGCTCCTCCATTAAGTCAGGTAGGGTATGGCCCATGAAACAACTGATTATTTTGGTGCTGATCCGTCCCACTGGAGTGAAAATGAGTGCAGCTATTAAGTGTATTGTGACTTGTGTGCATCTATGCAGAGCTGTAAGTACACACAGTTATGTCAGTCTGAATGGGACATTTATTTAGCCATTTGTGGCATATTCACTCATGTCAATGTGCTATGTGAAGCTAATCTGTTCATAGTGTGGCATATTGCTGAAGCAAGCTGACATTCTACAATCTGGGGCTTATTCCAAAAAGTGGGTAAAGTTTGTTCAAGATAAAATAAGGGCAAGAGCCTGATGGCAGACAGGCTCAAAGCTGTTAACATTTTCATCTTTAGGACTGGTATTAATTTTATTAATCTAGCCACAGGGGTTTCAAGGCAGTGACTTCTGTGCTGGTCCCAAGCCCTGATAAATAGAGAGTGTTGCGTCAGGAAGGGCATCCGGCAAAAAAACATGCCAAATTTAAACATGCGAATCATCAGTGTAAACTCCGTACCGGATCGGTCGAGGCCCGGGTTAACAACGACCGCCACCAGTGCTGTTGACCTACAAGGTGCTGGCGGAAATTGGATTACTGTTGGTCGACGAAGGAGAGGAGGTAGAAGGATTCATAGACAGAGAGAAAAGAGGAAAGGCAGGGGTATAGGTCTGAGAATAGGGACTCTTAATGTTGGGACAATGACAGGGAAAGGTAGAGAGCTGGCAGACATGATGGAGAGAAGGAAGGTAGATATACTGTGTGTGCAGGAGACCAGGTGGAAGGGTAGCAAAGCGTGTAGCATTGGAGGGGGATACAAACTGTTTTATTATGGTGTGGACAGGAAGAGAAATGGGGTAGGAGTGATCCTGAAGGAGGAGCTCGTGAGGAATGTTTTAGAGGTGAAAAGAGTGTCAGACAGGGTGATCAGTTTGAAGTTGGAAATTGAAGGGGTAATGTTGAATGTAGTCAGTGGTTATGCTCCACAAGTAGGGTGTGAGTTAGAAAAGAAGGAGAGATTCTGGAGTGAGATGATGATTCATAGATGAGGTGATGGAGAGTATTCCCAGAGGGGAGAGAGTGGTGAT